GCATACAGGTCTGAAGTGAAGACCCAGACTAAAACGATCCAAAATCACTAAGAACAATGGACACAATACATTGTGTACCCTGCCCAGAGAGGGTTACTGGGACATACCCCTGGAGAAAGGCCTGGGGGTAGGGTTTCTTAGCAAATGCCTGGTGGCTTCGCTCAAGCTGTACTCAGCAACAGCAGAGAAACTCTGACTTTGAACGAGAATGTTATTGGTTGGTGGAAGGAGCACTTTGAGGAACTCCTAAACCCAAGAGACATGCCTCCCTCACAGGAGTCAGGGCCAGAGGCTTCTGAGGTGTCAGACTTCTTTTCCCCTGTGGAGGTCACCGAGGTAGTTGGCAAGCTCCTCAGTGGTAAGGCACCGGGGGTCACCTGGAAATGTCTTAGGCTCTGGATGTTGTGGGGTTGCCATGGCTGACACACCCTTGGACTGGAAGACCAGCTTGTTGGTCCATACAGGACAGAGGAGTGTGTGCCAGTTGTTAGGGGATCACACTGCTCAGCCTCCCTGGGAAAGTTTATGCCAAGGTGCTGGAAAGGAACCTCTGACTGACAGTTGAACCTCTGATTGATGTGGATTCCGTCACTGCTGTGGATCACTGGTCCAGCTTTTCACCCTTACATGAATTGTTGATGGGGCTTGCCAACCAAGCCTACATGTGCTTTGTGGCTTATGGCCATGTTCCCTGAGATATTCTGTGGGATGTCCTCCAGGTGTTTGGGGTGTCAGGGCCACTACTCCAGGCCATTTGGTCCCTGTATGCCCAGAGTGAGAGCTGTGTCCATATACTTTGCGTTGAGTCAAGCTTACTCAGTGTGGGTTGTTTCTTGTCTCCACTCCTGTTTGGGATATTCATGGATAGGATGTGAAGGCATAGCCAAGGTCAGGCATTATATGTGGAGACCGGATGGGCAGCATCTCATCATTGCAGATGATATTGTCCTTTTGGCTCCATCGCCTACAGCATGCACTGGAGCAAGTTGCGTCGGAGTGTGAAACAGTTGGTATGCAGATCAGCACCTCGAAGTCTGAGTCCCTTGGTGTTCTCCTAAAAAGGATGGCATGCCCACTCCAGGTAAGAGGAGAGGAGCTTCCCCAGGTGGAGGAGTTTAAGTATCTCAGGGTCTTGTTCACGAGTGATGAAGAGGGGTGGTGAGATCGTCCACAGGCTGGGACAGGCGGCAGCAGTAATGCAATCACTGTACTGGACTGTAGTGGTGAAGAGGGAGCTGAGCCATAAGACAGAGCTCTCTGTTTACCCGGTCGGTCTACATTCCAACCCTCACCTGTGGTAATGAGCTGTGGGTAATGACCGAAAGAATGAGATCACGGATACAAGCGGCGGAAATGAGCTTTCTTTGCAGGGTGGTGGGCTACACCCTACTTGAAGGGTGAGGAGCTCAGTCATCGAGGAGGAGCTCAAAGTAGAGTCCCTATTCATCCACATTGGGAGGAGCCAGTTGATGTGGTTCGGGCATCTAATTAGGATGCCCCCTGGCCACCTCCCATTGGAGATTTACCAGGCACAGCTGACTGGGACAGACTCTGAGGTCATCCCATGACCTACTGAAGGGATTATACCTCCAAGTTGACCTTGGAGGGGCTCGGGATCCCCCAAAATGAACTGGAGGAACAAGGTCATCTGGGCTTCTCTGCTTTCGCAGCCCTAGCTGAATCAAGCAGATTAAGGAGATAAAGGAGAGGCGAAGTAGTACTGTGAGTCATGTCAATCTGAATTTTGAATTTTGTAACTGAGAATAAATTATTGGAACTGGTGAAAATGTCATAATATTGGACAGCGTTAAAAAAATCTCTATCACTGCAGGTTTCAGTATGTATCATAGTATAGTGCATTTATTTACATGTAAAATAGTTATATTTAGTGAAATTCCTGCTGGATTTGGCTCCACCTGCTGGTTGGTCAGTAAAATGCAGCCTTGTCGTAAGAAAGGAATTGTGGGAAACTCTTAATGCAGTGTATTGCTGTGGTTAAGTGCTGCTCCCAACTGTGACCCAAATAAAATCAGAACAAGGCAATCGCATTAATATCCCATGTCAGCTTCTGTATTTATAAATAAAACCACTTGGAGACCAACACCTCGAAGCTGAGATGATCACAATGAGCTGTTTCAGTCATTTTATTGTTGGAGACACATGAGGCTGTTTCATTTGGACAGGTAAGCTGAACAAAATTACAAACCTAACTACATTTTGTGGTTTGGTTGCCAAGCGCATTGCAGGTAAGCTAGACTGCATGTTGCTGTGTTCATTATGTCGTTTATACTCTTGTCTGCTGTGTAACTTCAGTTTTATTGCTGTGAGCTGTAGCCACAACTTAGCAGGCCAGGTTGCTATGTTGTCAAATCGGTTGCTGTTTTATGTTTTAAGAGGGGATGAAGTGAAACCAAATAAGCATATTCACAAGTGTACTGTATATTTCAAACAGACGTCAGTGTGTAGGAACGTAATTAATAAGATATATCATAAATCTGAT